ACAGGATGAATGTAAAACTAATGTTCTCCCATGTAAATGATCACATAATTCACAGTAAAACATTAAAAAGAAGACTAATTGTAACAGATTAAATCAAGGAAAAGGAGCAATCAATGTGCCTTTCTGAAGTTTGCTTGCAGCTAAATTACTTTGTGTTAAACTGAATTTGCTAACTAAAGCAATTATTTTTCTAATATTTCCCCTTCAGACAGCAACTGCAAATCATACACATAACACCCCAGCAACCAAAAATGAATGATGAGAAATACTTTTAAAAAAATAAAAAAGAGTTAAGGTTTGAAATCAGGGAATGCATTTTCACATATAACCTCCATATAAAGCTCTGTAACTTGCAAAAGTAGTCTGGGTAATAGATATGCATTATGGTAAATGATGAATATTATAAGTACATAAATAGAAGGTTGCATATTTTACCAGGAAGCCTGGGTTATGGGTGAGAAGTTATAGGTGTTATATATGAACAGGAGGGTTCAAAACTATATAAGAAATTTGTCATGCTGATTAACAAATCCTAGAATGATCCCACTACTACATTAAAATTGTGACAAAGAACATAATGTCCAAAACTTGATAATATATCCTATAAAACATCAAAAACTATGCAACCAGTAGTAAGATCTCTGAATATAGATGTCTGCATTTGCCATCTTTGCAAACCATTACATCCAAAAATGATATAAATGTTAAGATTAGGCTGTTCTGCTGAGGAACCTCTGAAGTGCTCTCTTTATGTCCCTGTTCCTCAGGCTGTAGATGAAGGGGTTCAGCATGGGAGTGACAATGGTGTACATTACTGAGGCCACTGCACTCATTCTGGAAGATGTGACAACTGAACTGAAGTACACTCCAAGTCCTGTTCCATAAAATAAGAAAACAACTGACAAGTGAGAGCCACAGGTAGAAAAGGCTTTAAACTTTCCACCTGAAGATGAAATTTTCAGAATCGAGGAAATAATTCGAGTGTAAGAGAAAATAATCCCTGAGACTGGAATACCACCAAAGATGGCACCAATAAAATATACTAATATGGTATAGGTAAAGGTGTTAGTACAGGCAAGGTTAATGAGTTGAGGAGGGTCACAGAAGAAATGAGGAATTTCCACAATTGTACAAAAAGTAAGTTGTGATAACATTGAAATGTGCAACTGGGACTCCAAAAGGCTGATGAAAAATGACATCAAAACTAACAAGCCACAGCGGCGAGGGTTCATGATGACTGTGTAGTGCAGGGGGTGACAAATGGCTACAAACCTGTCATAAGCCATCACAGTCAAGAGCATATCATCCAGACATGCAAA